CCCATTGATGTACATTTTTAAATTAATATCATGTCCATTTAGATTCACCATATATTTTGTGAAATCTAAGACAATTCCCATCTGTTTCATGACACCTCTGCTTATCAACAAAGGTATTTAATTTTTTACCACCTCAACATCCATCAATATTCTTTCACATATTAAACTTTTGGCTTCAAAATCATCATCAAATCTAAATACCATCCTGGGTATGACGATAAGCTACATCCGCATCCTGGGTAAGACGATAAACTACATCCAACAGCAAGACCTCTGATCAGGAAGTTTTGAGAAGCGTGGAACCACCTCTTAATTGCTGGATGCAACCAACAAGCATTCTCAACAATGCCTCCATTCATGCCCCCTTTATGGTAGTCCATCCTTCATAATGAGAGGTGTGACATTTAAGTCAAATCCTAATCATGTAAGGCAATACTTCTTGCCCTTGATCAGCACAGTTTGAAAGGTCCACAATGCCTTGTCAACATGTATCTGTAGGTAAGCTTTTCTCAAATTTAATAGGGACATGTTCACTCCTGTCGCCACCTTTCCCTCAACTTCTGGGTGCACACATCCGCATCGGCAGTGAACGCTCCACAAAATCATTTAATTCCCTGTAATCAAGCACTGTCCAAACCTCCTGTTTGTTCCCCTGAATCACCACCATCAATGGAATCAGTCCCTTGGGTGGACTGAGCTCACATTCATTATCTAACCACAGCTGCAGTTCTTTTTTGTATTAAACCCCCCGCCGATAGTCACACCATTTTTCAGTCTTTTGGGTGTTTGACCACTGATTCATTTCCATGAGGCAGTCCAAACCTTCTGGTGGTCGAATTGCACACTAAAAAAGGGTTTGTTGGTGGAAATGGCTGAGTGTATACTGGTGTATATTTCTTGAGAAAGCGGATTTCTCCTGATTTAGTGAGCTATGCATTTCTGTTCATCTACAAGCATTTCAATGACTGGTAGTGCATTATTCTTTACTTGCTCAGGGATGAGATTGGCATTGACTTCTCCCCTGAACTGTTTCTTCTGGCACTCAGACAAGATGTATCCAACCTTGTTGCAACAAAAGCAACACACTTCAACACATGATCTGTGCACCCAGTTATCTGTCCCCTCTAGGCATCCTTGTTTACCCTCCTTTAGCAAAGTGGTTGGGACCAGATAACTTAAAATAAATTATGCCATCCTTATGCATACCAGAAGAATGCATCTCAGCATGTGTTCGTTGAATCGATGTGGTGACTGACTCTTCAGGTTTTTGGCCATCAGACATAATGGCTCTTGCCTTGCTCCATAGTCTCAAGATACTTGGACAACCTAAGACAAACATCTAGTTTGACTAAGGGTCCTTCTTGTTACAAGGAGGCCAGCACTAAAACTACTTTATGACTATCTCCTGAAGGACTGTTTCCAGTCTATCTAGGTCAACCTGTAATCGGTGCCCAAAGACCTAATGGTGTCCTTAAAGATTGTACCACCACCCATTTCACAGTATTATTAGTTTTTGAATTTCCAGTACCCAGCCATTCTAGGCTTAGCCATATCTAAATTTATACAGACCTGCACAAGCTCATGGTTCATATAAAAGATATGAAAACTTGGATAACCTAAGAATCCTATGTCAACTCTCCTAAGTAAAAACCAGGTTGATGTTGCTAGAAAGCTGGACCCTTCTCAGGCAGCCCGTCTATGTCCAAGTCCACTCTACCTACTTCAGATGTTCATTTCAGAATTTATCAACCAGAATAGTCTGGTGACAAATTCATGAAGGTTTTTTTTAAAAAAGAATATTAGAACCTTCCCTGAACCCCCTGTGGTCTAAATTGGGATCAAGGATGATGTTTCAATCACCCACTAGAACTACCCTTTTCCAAAGTTCATTCTCAAATATTGATCCAGTGGAGGAGACATCTTTCTCCTTTATGGTAATTTCCAGCACATACAATTCCTCCAAAAGACAAGTTGCCCAAAGAACATTGCTATATATTACTGGCACCAGAACTTCTTTGACATCCTCATAGTCACCACTGTCAATACAACATATTCTGAGGCTTTTTGATCCCTGAGGGAAGTTATGCTTGTTAACCAGGATCCTCTTACCTTTTTTTCCTTTTACTTCCCATTTTTCAGTTTTATGGAGCCATCTTTGATGTCCAGGAAATGATAGTTTCACTTTCTATACAGGGATGGTTGAAAAATGCTGAGGTTGAACAAAATTCTTTCTTTCTCAAATATGTCAGTGGAGGGTCTTTATGGAATTTTTCCCTTCTCCAACATTGCCCATCATTGCTAATATTCACCAATGCGCATCACTATGATATTTCTTTCCATATTCTGTTTTTTTTTTTTTCCTTTTTACTTCTTTGAAGTTTTTGAGGGCCTTTTAAGTCCTTCAGATGCTGAGGTTGAAGATTCTTCCCAATGTCAAGGAGCAAATCCACCTTTTATGATATTTCTTTCCATGTTTTTTTTGGTATTTTTTCCTCTCTGAGGTGGTGGTGGTTTTGACTGATGTTGATGGTATTTGTGGTGGTGGTGGTTGATTAGGTAAGGAGGTGGAGGAATTGATTTTTTTTTTTAAGGTGAGGATTTGGGTGTGGGAGAAGCAGTTCAGTGTAGAGACATAGGTTTAGACTTGGATTTATTATCTCATTTTGGTGATGATGAAGATGTATATTTACCTGGGGAGGACTTTTTGATGGGGGAGGAATCTCCCTCTACTGGCTTGTACTTGGTCTCCATTTGCTTCTTAATAATCAAAAGTTACTGCATTTCTTTTGACGGGCTTGCATATAATATTGTTGGTATCTTTAAGGTCTCCCCATAGCTTGGTCTTTCCTTCCTTCTTAGTGCTGGGGCTTAGAAGGTGATGGGACTGCTTATGTATTTTTGTTCTTTTTCAGGGCTATCTGCCAATCATCTGACTCTTCTGCGATTTTAGGTGTTGTATCAGGTAAAATCACACCATTCTCCTGATCCTTAGTTTTGTTCATCTCATTAGGAAGAAAAGGTCACTGATTTTGTGTCTTCTCCATATGTTTTCCTTTTTGGAGGCAAACTGTGGAGAGATGCCCATTTTCACCACATTGCCAGTGAGCTGGTTTCCATCTTGAGATGATAAGTGGAAGTTTTCTATTTAGTTGCTATTTAAAAGTATCCAATTGGGAACTGTATTGATTTGTGGCTCCTCATTACAAAGTACTGCCATTCTCCTATCTTTCTTTCCAGAATCACCACTCTCAGATCTCCATATTGCATTAGAAATTCCCCAACCTGTTGACCAGAGATAAAGCCAGGCACTTCATAAGCAGTAACACGTGTGTGTCATTGTCATTGGTATTCAACTCTCAATATGCAATCCTTGTTTTGAAGGTCCCTCATGGTCAGTGCAACACATTCTTCTGGGGTTGATAATAGTATTCTCCAACATAGGGAAATTCTTTCTTTTGACTATTTGTTGGATTTTTACACCCAACTCTGCTAATCCTTAATGATGTAATCTGTGTTGGATTTAACTGACATGTTTAATTTTTTGTCAATAACAAAAACAGAAATAATTCTTTCCACAGCTTCCAACTCTGGAGGGTTTATGATTAGTCTATCTGGTGTGACTAGGTGGGCAAATTGCCTAACCTTCTTTACAAATTCCTCAATGTCTATGACACACTGATGTGATGACTTCCTTGTAAAGGGCAAGGCAGTAGCCAAATTTTCCTTGTCCTTCCTTTTTTCCATGGTTTTGCCAGTTTGTGAGATTGTAGCATGGTCCTTTTTCTCATGTTCCTGTGACCCTTTTTCAGGGGTTGCAAATAGAGCTTTGATGGCTTTACTAATGTCCTCCTCATCCATTATGGACAAGGTAGGAATGGCAGGAAGCCAAAATAAGCTATTGGATGCAGCCAGGTGTTAAAAAAAAAAAACTGTATGTACAAAACACTAAAAAAAAAAGCTCACAAAAAAACCCACTAGTTAATCCAGACAAAGTAATTGTACAGAACTGATTCTTAATGCGACAACAAACTGAGTAAACTTGACAACTTGAAGCCAACCCAACAGCAATAAACTGTTCTGCTTGTTGCCTCATACGCCCTGTTTTAATCTATTTTAGAATTTTTGTAAAAAAAAAAAAAAATGTGCTCGCTAGATAACTAGAGCAACAATAGTCTATAAATTAATAAATGTTCAAAGGATTTATCTCATTGATCAACTCCAACGTTTTGAATAACAGTGCTCATCAGGGTCAGATTTATTGCACCCTCTGATCCTGATGAATGTTCTTACGCAAAACTCTTGAGTTGGTCAATGAGATAAATCTTTTGGGGCTTATGGCCACATCATATTGAAACGCTAATTACTGTATGATCATTGAAGTTAAGCAATGTCAAGCCTGGTCATTACCTTGAAGGGTGACTGTTTAGGAATACCAGATGCTGTAAGCTTGTATGTATGGGTGGGGTAATGGATAATGGCTTGGAATTATCAATTGAAGGGCTGAGTTCCAATTCCCATTGGGTTCATTATATTCACTTATGCACAAATACCCTTGGGAAAAGGTATGAATCCACCGCTTCTCTCCCCAGCTATGGGTTAATTACTAAGACTTGTATCACAAAGCAATCATTTTGTCCCAAAAATACTCAATGTAAAAATATTTTCTGGCTTTAAATAATCTGCAAACGGTTGATAAGCCATGGAAAATGAATGAACCAAGTCATTTTTATTAATGGATAATGATATCTGTTATGTTTTATTATATTCGTATTTAAGTAGGTTTATTCAAACTGTTGTTTTTGTCTATTTTATCCAAATAGTTTCAGTTGCTAGAGGTGTGTTAAACTGAATCCTCCTCACCATGTAATGACTAGTATGTTGTACAATAAACACTAAGAAATACAAAAGATTATAACAGCAATATTGTATCAGTATGTTAACGACTACCATAACCTACTTATACGACAGATTGACTTTTTCCTTTATTTTTGTTTCTTTAGTTGTGAACGACATTGTCTCTACCATGTTCAGCAAGCATTTCATTGATGAGTTGTTTCGACCCCAATTGATGTATTCAAAGAGGACAATGAGATCGGTGTTTGACCGTCTTGCTCACTCCTCTCTTTTGCGACTAAATGCTGCTAGTATGGACAAGGTCAGTATGTTTTATCATTGCCAGGTTTTGTAAAAGTAATTTATTTTAAAAGTAATTTCATTTCAAAGATCATTGGATTTTGCAGAATCAAAATTCAAGAGGTCATGATTTTTTTTTTCTTTTCAAAGTTAAATATTTTCAAATCATTCTTAGATTTTCTTCAGATTCCACAGATGTTTTCAAAATAATCATTGTTATTCAAATATCTTGTGTTAACTATTGTTTATTCATGCCTCACAGGAAAAATTGTTAAATTTATTAAAAACAGCAGGCAAAGTCGATCAGGAAACTGGAGATCTTCTAAAGGATATTTATAAGAAATGTGCTATTTGTCACAAATATACATGTCCTAAATTGAAACTAATAGTTGGTTTTAATCCAGTAAATGATTTTAATCAAGTAATTGCTCTTGACTTTCATGAACTTAGTCCTGGCATCTGATATTTACATATGATTGAGTTGTTTAGTAAATTAAGTCTGGCTGTTATAACCTGTAGTAAAGAAGTGGGTGTCTACATAGATAAGTTTATGCAGAATTTGGTTGCTATTTATGGTGCACCTAAAATTGGTCTTTTTACAAATAATGATCGTGAGTTCAGCGACAAGACTTTTCAAGAAATGTCTGAAAAGTTGAATCTCACTCAAAACAACTGAAGCTTATTCTTCATGGTCAAATGATATTGTTGAGCACCATAATGCAATTCTGACAGAAATCATTAAGAAAGTTAAAGAAAAAAAATGTTATTTCATGGGAAACTGATATAAGTTGGGCTGTGAATGCAAAGAACTGCTTGGTAAATGTACCAGGATTTAGTCCACATCAGATAGTGTATGGCAGGAATTCAAACTTACCATCTAATATTACCAACAAATCTCCTGCTCTGGAAGATAAAACTATTGGTGAAGTGATGAAAAGGCATCTCACAGGTTTACAAAAAGCATGTATATGTGATGGATCTGGCTGGTAGAATTGACACAAGTACAGTTGAAGATTTGAAATGATTGAATAAGATCATCAAGAAAGTAAAATCTGACCATGTTCATTTGAAGTATCAAAATTTGGGCAAGTTCTTTGTCTTCGAGGCCAGTTCCGTTTGTAGCAATATCGTACCACCGTTGACTAAGGCTGAGCACTGTGTGTTCTTTTGCTTACTGGGTGTTATGTGAGTCATGATATGGACTATGTGACAGAAGGAATTCCATAGAGATGAGAAATTTACCTCTTCCCAAATGATCCTGTTATTTAAACACCAGCTTAAAGTCATGATCAGGACAGAAAGGAAGTGACTCCATCCATTGGAATTTGGCAAAAGGTGGGTGAGTCTTGCATGTTTGTGCTGAGTAAAAAGTGCTTACTTGGAATGACATTTTGATGCTGGTTAGGCATTAAGGATTTTGGGATTTTGCTGGATTGAACATTGGCAACCCTGCCTGAAAATAGGTTAGTTTAGGTTTGTGTTTTCTTTAGTTTTTTTTTCTTCATCCAAGTTAGCTAAGGTATGTATGCTAATTGGCCCCTTTTATTTTTTTTGACTTCACTTTCTTTGTTTAATTCCCCCTCCTCTCCCCCATTAGGTGACCAAAGATGTCAGTTATCTGGTATATGTGGGATGCCTTTTGCTTTTTGGGTGTGATCTTTTGTATTTGTTGTTGTGTTTGGGTGAGTGTGTGTTTTTGTGAGTGTTAGGTTGCCTGAGTGTTTTTTGTTTTTGTTTTTTTTAAGTTCTGCATTATTTTTGTCTTGTTTAACTGATGTCTCTGCCACATTTAGTGATTCGGTGGGGTTTATTACTATTTTGTTTTGTTTCTTGTAAATAAATTTTGTTTACCATTGTAAATGTTCGTTAGGGTTTATAAAATTTTAAAAGTTGTTTTTGTATTCCTCACCCTCCACAGAAAAAATATGGGAGACTATTTAGGACTTCATAGAGTCTCTGAGGTATTATGGTGGTTGTAGTAAAAATGGTAAGAATGCAGCATTTTGGTGCAAGGATTATTGTAGCATGTCTGGGTCAGTGATTGTGGTTAGCTAAGTTTTTAGTATAAGGCAGTTGATGACCAGCCTTCCCCTTTCCCCATTATGTGCCCTATTTGTACTAATGTGCCATAAATATACTTGAACTTTACTTGACTAGAGAAACTACTGGCATTTGAAACCAGACCTGAACACTTATTATCTTAGATGAAGCATTGTTAGTTAAAATTAATTTTTGACACTAGTATTTCTTACATCTTGTTTCTTGTTTTCATACCTATTAGTAATAGCACTTGTATATATGGGTACATGGCCAAGTAGTTAGAATGTTTGCTTTCCCACCATGCAACCAAGTTCAAATCTTATCAGGGTCGATTTGTTGGTAAGGTGACTTCTTGATGTTATTGGTGTTGGGGAGGCGATCCCAATATGCAGCACATTTGGAAAGTGCTTGAAAACCATACCATGGGTTGACCCAAGCCTTGTGAGTAAAACTAAGTAGATGGAACTATTTGAGAGTCATCGGTGGCTGTGTCATCGTGACTGAGGGTTTGAGTGTGCTGGCCTTGTTCAGATTGTTGATCACTTCAGATAATGCACTTTCTTCAAGTAAATGTAACTAACGTCTGTTCAGCATAGTTGCACTATAAACCACGGGTAGGCTCTGTGTTGAACAAAAACAAAATTTGCATGAGAAAGCGTCTACAATAGGGATTGGCTAGCTGCTCTAGTAGACAGGAATTATCGGATAGGAGTGGCCAGCCATAAGAAGAACAGTACTTGTGTGACTGAACTTCTTAGTCAATTATTATTAGATTTTGACTAGTATTTTTTCATTGTCATTTTTTATTTTAATTGCAGCTATCAAGTCTTCATTCGTTATTGATTTTATGATTGCTAGTAGGCTGTATCAAACAGAAATAAAGAATAAAGCTCTAGCTTTATTTCTATTTCTCCTTGTTTAATAATGACACTTTGAAACTCATTGTAGTAAACTACTTATTAAGACACAAAATAGGAGTAATTTGTTTTAGTTATTATCAATTAAGTGATACTCTTTCTTTTTTCTGACCTCTCGTTTCAGCTGTATGACCTTATGATAATGGTGGTTAAGCAACAAGTACTAATGTGCCTTCGACCTAAAGATATCCTTTTTATTACACTCAATCATCTTGATGCCATCATGGAATTGGTAAAGGATAATCCATCCACATTACAACAAGTCAATTACGTATATCGACTTTTCATCAAGGTCAGTATTACTCTATATTTCTGAGATGAGGTATTCTAACTATTTACATTGTTTGGACTGTTGTCCTCATCTTTATTGCCATATTCACCTTCAATATCTGTCTCTATTTCTGAGATGAGGTATTATAACTATTTACATTGTTTGGACTGTTGTCCTCATCTTTATTGCCATATTCGCAATGTTTCGGCCATTGTATGCTCTGGCCTTCTTCAGATGATATATGTTGGAATTTCAAACAAAACCTTTTATTTTTGTCTACCAGGGTAGATGGTTCTAGTTTCACATGACATGACTTTTCTGGATATCTCCGTTTCATTTATTTTCATTTAGTAACTCAACTCTGCTGTGGTCAGGTATTGAACTCGCATCTCTTTGGGCCAACCAATGCCTTTATCCACTAGGTCATGTGAACAATCTTCCCTGGTGGACGAAATAAAGAGTTCAGTTTGAAATTCCAACATATATCACCTGACAAAGGCTGGAGGGTACAATTGCCAAAATGTTGTGAATATGACAATAAAGATGAGGACAATTGTCTGAACAATGTAAATAGTGTAAAAAAGGTCACTATTGTTCACTTTTATTTATATCTCCCTTGTTTAAGTGTTTGTCTAATTGGAATTTTTATACTAAAGTCAGAAAATGTTCACTTCTTTTATACAAAGGAAACAGTAAAAAAGAAGATAATATATACCAACACACAACTTTTTTAACTTCCATATGGTCCTGCGACCAGAAATGATTTTTTTTTCAGCTCTCTATAGATTAAACATTCTGGATCCCATATATACAAAATCTTTTTTTTTTCTATTAAAAAGGTTAATAGGTCATCTAGTTTAATATGTAAATTGATTCCTAAAACAAAAAGTGTCCATACCACATGACTTCTAAAATGAAAAATTTTTGAAATTCATAACCTGGGGTGGTTTTCTCATGTATTATTAACAATTAAGCACTCCAGATTATGATAGTTAAAAAAAAAATATATATTTTTTTAAATTGTAAGAAATCATGTGGTATGTACATACTTTGTTTTTGTTAATGGTGTGGATCAGTTTAAAATGAATTTACATAGCAAATTGAACCCCTATTTAATTTTACATCCAATAATAACTAAAGAGTTAATGCTTACAGCCATATTTTGTTAAAACACCAGTTCCCGTATGATTATTGAAGTTAAGTACTGACCATACTTGACATTGCTTAAGTGGGTGACTGCTAGGGAATACTAGGCACTGTAAGCTTGGATGTGCAGTTGGTGTAATAATGGCTTGCAATTGTTAATTGGAGAACTCAGTCCCAATTCCTGTTTGGTTTATTATGTTCCCTTATGTGCAAATACCCTTATGGAAGGCATGAATCCACCTCTTCTCCCCCCAGATGTAGGTCAATTAGTAAGACTTTTTTATTATTATCTCCAAAAAGAAAATTCTTAGAATCTAAAAATATTTTCTGCAAAGGGTTGATAAATGGTAAAAAACAAATCGACTAAAGAATTAATGGGTTCATCTTTGATCTGACACTTCAAACATTACTTCAGTGGACACTCTGTATTTGAAATAGACGTCCTTTTTTTATATTTATTAAAGAGTGTATTATATCTATCAGTTGGCACATTTGAGAAATCTTAGTAATAAAAAAAATCATATTTGTGATTTGGAGTGCTTAATTTCTGGTAATAGGAAAAAAAATTTGAGAGAAATGATTATTTCAGGTCACAGTGCCTATTGTACACTTCCATCATTATTTCCAATAAATGTAAACCTAACCCTGATTCATTACTTTTTGCAAAATATAAGATTTTCAATCTTTCATCCAATATCTAGAGTTCAAATAAATGATTTAAATTCCCCTGCAGCCTTGCTGACTTCTTATTTGAGTATTGCATTAAAAAAAATATCCCTTTCAAATGATAACACATTTTTCTGTTTTTAAAATTGAAGGTATACGCTGATCTATCAGATGGCGAATTCCAGCTACTTCGTCAAACAATGCTGACTTTTTTCCAAGACTGCCACATCAGGGTAGGTAATTTGAGTTTGATTTTTACCAAATTTAAATAACCCTTTGCAGATTGTTGTCTTTAATTTAACCTTAAAATGATCATCAAATTTTAAGGTTAGCAAGAGCCAAAGAATTTCAATGTTGCAGGTTTGCAGTTTAGGAAAAACAATCAAACTTTTTCATATATATTTTAATAATAGAAAAATAAAGTAAAATCAACAATATCTGTCTATATCTCTGAGATGAGGTATTATGATTACTTGCATTATTTACATTGTTCAGACTGTTATCCTCATCTTCATTGCCATATTCATGTTTTGGACATTGTACTATAACAATAACAGAAAAATTTACAATATGAGCACTGTTAAAAAATGAGGCTTAGATATTAGGTTTATGAGTCCTAAAAATTCATGCACAGATATCCTCAAGGATAAATGGCCCAGTGGATAAAGTTGCTGGTAAGATCCAGTGACTAGACCCAAAGAGTTGTGTGGTTAATACCAGGCCACAGTGGTGAACAAAACTTGGAGAGTTAAAGGGAAATAACTGCGACATCCCAAAGAGGCATGGCACATGGAACTAGGACAATCTACCCTGGTGGACAAAATAAAGGGTTCAGTTTGAAATTCCAATCACCAGAGCATACAACATTGTGAATATGGCAATAAAAATGAGGATAATCGTCCAAATAATGTAAATAATGCAAGTAAAATCAGCAATGTTTAACATTAGTGCCCACAAAACAACGGTGTGTCAAAAGGTCGATTATTCCCTTGACACCACTATTACTGTATACCCTTTTGACTTCCTCGGCAATGTTTATTGCTTTAAGAAATGATGATTACAATTTTAATTATAACCCAAACCTATGGAAGAGGATTTATACATTTTTTATATGTCTGATAATTGGCAACAAAGATATTAAACATTATTTATGTATTAGAATTTATTAATATCTTATTTATAAAAAAATTTTATAATTACAAGATTATAAAAATATATGAACCAACGATAATGAAATATTTATTATTTACCATTTCAAAAAGAAATCAGTATGAAAAAAAAGTAATTCATAAATTTAGAAAAATGACTGTGAACAAGAAAATTCACATAATTTTTTCTTTTGTTTTCACTGCATACATTTACTAAAATAGTTTTTATAGTTATTTATAAAATGGTAAATAATAAATATGGCATTATAGTTGGTTTACCGATTTTGATAATTTTGTAATTTTTTAAATAAATCTTTGAATAAAAATATTTTTTTCAAATGTATTTTTTTATAAAATGTTAAATAATAAATCTTTATAAAAGGTAAATAATGAGTATTACATTGTACTTGGTTCATATATTTTTATAATCTTGTAAATAAACATAACCGAGGGAATCAAAACCGTATGCAGTAATAGTGGTGTCAAGGGAATAATCGACCTTTTGACACACTGGGTTTTTTGCAAGTACAAAGGTTAAATATTGCCAAAAAATCTTTACAAAATCTTTTAAGATAAAAAAAAAAAACTTAATTATAATAATATACTTATTTCAGGTTACTGTCTTTTTAAAGGAGAAGGTTCAGAATAATGATGGTTTATTTGTATTACCTCGGTCTGGAGTTGTTGGCTGGAAAATAGAAATACCTGTTGTTATAAAGTAAGAAAGACAATTCATATTTTTTTCTTTCTTTTTTTCTTGTAGCTTATGACAATTTGGTACATCAGGTGCAAACTTGTTTACACATTATTCTTTGTTTTCAGTTCAGGTGCATTTTTTGGACAGAAGTATATGATTACATTCATTTCTGTCTTAATTCCTGGGATGAGGAGTCATTATTATTTACAGTCTAATGTCTTCATCTTTGTTTTTATTATCACTAGTCCTGAGTATGACGATAAACTACATCCAGCAGCAAGGCCTCTGATCAGGAGATGAAGATTTTGAAGAGCGGGGAATCACTTTTTAGCTGCGACTGTTCCTAGGTCCACCCTGACCCAGGGGGTGTTGGCACCGGTTAGGGTCCCAGCTATAGACAAATAGTGAACTGCCAAACAAAAAGAAACCACTATGAAAGCATAAAAATACATTTTTATTGAAAAATACCAGCAATATATTTTTATATAAAAAAAATTACCAACAATACCTATTTATAGGAAAATTACCATCAATCAACATGAAAGAACACTTTCACGACATTAATCCATATAATATCCTACAATTTCTTAAAGAAATCAAACTATATCTCAAAATATAACTTCAACAAAACTACTACATAAAACACACACTAGTAATTTTGTTCACACAAATATGAGTATCAGTTACCATGTATTCAATTGTGAAAGCGGAATTATAATTTTATTACTACAAAGCTCACAAAAAAATTAAATTTCAGCATTAAATGACCCATAAGGAGTTGATATGCCATTAATCAAATCAAATCTTATTATCACAACATTTCAACTATTGTGTCCTCTGGCCTTCTTCAGATGTCTGTTGATCCAGGTAACCCTTAGGGAATTTTGAACAGAACCCTTTATTTAATATATGTGATTATTCATTTTCTGATGTCCATGTTTAGGAATATCTTGTCTTGTTCTTTTTTGGTACTCTTCATTTATTGTTAGTTTCGTTTTCTCTGAGTCTTTGCTACCGATTGCAATAGTAATAACAAACAGAAAGACATTTGTTTGATTATAAATAATAATGTAAATAAGGAAAAAAATAAACTTGCTATGTGGTTTCTATTTCAGGATAGATGGTACAGCACATTGCATGCACATTGTATTAAACAATTTATTTTTTGAATTAAACAATTTTTATATATATATATGCAAAGAAGAATATTCCTAGTCTGCATTTCCCCATCATAGGCATTAATATATCCATTATGATATATATAGTTTGTCTGATGATTGCAAAAGTGTGAAACCCAGGGTTACAAACTCATATCAATACGACTGAATAAATATATATATATATATGTTTTGAACAAGAAAAAATTTTAAAATATTAAAAATTTTCAGACACACTAGGTTGTATATTAGTATGTTTTTGTTTTATTATTTCAATTAAGTTCCTTGACTGGTTTTGGCCAGCATGACCATCATCAGGAGGAAAAAAATCCCTGCTTATTAGTAGCAGTGAACTACAGGAGTGAATGGCTGTCTCTGAAGAAAGTGAACATTATCTGTAGTTTTCATTTGTTTCTTTTTAATTTTGGTCAGTCCTTGTGTTGGTTAAACAGTCTCTTTCAAGTTGTTTTTAAGATGGGGGCTAGGAGAATCCTGAGTCTCTGATTTCCTTCCTTGGTCATTTTGACAGTTTTATTGGTTACTGGGGAGGAGATGAGATCTTTTAGTTTTTTGGACGTGTCTGTGATGTGTGAGTGTGTGTATTTGTGTGAGACCTCAACACCTCTGTAAGCATGTCTGTCTTGTGTTGGTGAGAAATGTGGGTATGGCTTGATTTATGGGATTATATATTAATTCTATCTGTGTTGTTAAATTTGTGGTTAAGTCTGTCTGGACAAAGTGTTTTAGGCACAAAATCCATTTGTTTTCATGTTCCTCTAGTATTTTTCTAAGGTTATCTTCTCTGTCTATTTCTATTTTTTCAATTATGGTGAATTTTGCATGGCTTTTAAAGGTTCTACAGGTAATAATCTTTCATGGGGAGCCAACTTGATCTGAGTCTGATAATTATTAATTCTGTAGTGAAAGGGCCATTCTGACTTTCCCACATTGTTTCTGGTATAGTGTGCATTCTAATATGTAAATTATGTTATCACTTCTACAGTTGTGGTACATTTTTAAAGTAGATTTAGTGACTGCACTAGTGAACAAATTGATATGTCTAATATATATATATATATATATATATAAAACGATATATAAATTTTTATATATCAAGAACAATATTGAGGAAAAATACATGACAAAGTGGAAAAAGTTTTCTTGTGACGCTTTTTGTCTTTTTGGATTTCATTGGGCTAAATTGTTGATGCAACTACACATATGCGTGAATGAGGGATGCTGGAAATTTAAATTTTTTCTTTTATTTAACAAAAAATTTTAATATGATCTAGCTGATTTCATTTAGACACATTTTCTCTTTGTTGCCATCACTTTTGTTATTAGATACCCAATGAAATCATAAAAGACAAAACGCATCACACAAAAACTTTTTCCAATTTGTTGTACATTTTTCCCAATCACTCACTCTCTCTATCTATCTCTCTATCTATATAAATCACTAATTTGTCCCACAATGAGAAACTGTAACATGTGTATGACAAGTAGTGTGAAATGAGTGAAAAAGAGAGGATCTTACTTGTAATATTTTCTAATCGGGGGGAAAAGGGCTGGTTTTTGGTGTCCTTTATGCTTCTGGTGAGACCATGTGGTTTTTTTTGTATGCCTTACCACTGTAGGCTTGTGATGTCTGTCTTCTCTATGGTGTACATAGCAACTGGTGTGGGTAGTCTAGTCTCCAGGAGTGATAAATAGTAACTAGGAATTGACTCTATGGACTGACCTCACTCACCGGCCATCATGTGACTTTTGTGTCTTTGTCTCAACCAAAGGGAGATAATTGCCTTTGACTTGTTGATAACATATAAAACAACTACTGCATTGGCAATTTTCACTTAAAATAATTATACATTAAATAGTACATGTGCACAAAATGCATTCAGTTAAAATTATAAAATAAATTACAATGTACAAATTGAAATAGTATACTCCTTCTTTTATGTGCTGCATGCCTTCAGGACATAACTGATTATGACACTCCACAACTTCCTATTCTTTGTTTTTTTCTCTCTTTGCTAAAGCTCCTGTTCCCTGTTCTGCCATCCATTCACACAAGCTCATCAGGTAATATGCCCTGTGAGGGTTAAGTTTTCTAAGTCCTCCTTCCTCATTGTGTGTCCCAGGAATTTCAGCTGTCTTCTTCTGATTCTGAGTACTACAAAATTAAAAATAAATATGAATTATTATGTTGCAGACTAAAAAAAAAAAATAAAATAAATACAATCAGTGAAATATGTGCACATGATCTATAAATTGTGTGACTTGCAATAACTCTCTAAACACTGCAAAGTTTTTATGCTTTTTTCTTATTGGATGAGATATATGAGGTGTGTTCAAAAAGCATCTGATTTTATTTTTTTTTTTTCCGCCAAAACTAATGCCTTGCGGGTAAAATCTTTTGGGTAGTAGGTGGCACAACTATTCCTGCACATGTGTGAAAATTTTTGTGCAGATAGACCGCATGAATTCCTGGCTGTTATACCTAGAGTACAGATGTGTAGTGTGCATCAAATGATCAAATTCATTGTGCAGATATATTGCATCAAGTTTTGCCAAAAGCTTGATTATACTCAAGCTCAAACCATCCGAAAGATTCAGCAGGCCTTTGTTGATGAAGGAGTGTTACAACTACTTTAAACATGGCTGCACCTCAGTGGAGAGTGAGTCATGTTTAAGCAGGCCATCCTCAAGCTGAAGTGGGAATAAGCACAGGATCAGTGCATTCCATTTTAATGGAGGATTTGTGCATGTAGGGAATGTTGGTGAAATTCTTCCATAAGGTACTGGCAGAGCAGCAGAAGCATCAAAATTGCATGGTTTTTTCAATTGTGGGAGAACCAGAATGTACATGGTGCCAAGTTGGGAGAATAGGGAGCCTGTCGTACAAGTGGTGTTGTCCTTGACCAAGAAAGCATGGTGTAATATTTCTGCTCAATGCATTTGATCATCTTGCATGAAAATGAAACACATGAAACACTATACATCTGCACTCTAGACATAACGACCAGGAACTGACATGGCCTACTGGCATGAAAATTTTCATGCATACATAGAAAACTTATCACATCCTTAAAATGTTAATGATTCTTGTTTTCTGTTAGTATAAAATTAATGTTTCTGGTATTATTCATTTTAGGGTTCAGTTTAGATTTGGATTGCCTTTCATTTGCAGGAATCATTTTTTGTAAGAGAGGTTTATTTAATTTCAGATTATTTAATGAAAATGGTGAACTTATAAAAACGACTTCATCAAATCCTGGTGGCAGATATATACCTTCATCAAAAGAGGGATCTATTGAACCCAAAGGTGACAGATGTACTCAGCTTGGGCGTAACATGTAAGCAGAAATTCCTTTCTGTTTTCTTTATTTGAATTTCAGTTATTAAATATATAGCCTTATTTTGTCAGTATCTTATTTTAGTTCATGACCTTCTGATAATCCCCTCCTTATTTTTTTTCCAATGGATTTCATTTATAAAATCATTTCAAAAGGATTTACATTATGCATGTAATTGGCATATTATGTCAATACTACCTGTTGATAATACTTTTTTATGATTTCAATATGCAGTTGAAACTGGCTGAAAAAATTTACAATGTTTGCTGTTTAGTGAACAATTTTTTTTTTTTTTTTTTTTACCCCAGAAATATTTATTTTGTTACTACTGAAAATGATTAAAACTCAATGATGGCGTTCTGGAGTAGTGGTAAAGTAATTAAGCAATAATAAGATAAACTGAAACATTTCCTTCAAATACCTGATTCAAATGCAGTTAGCAGTAAAATAAAACTGACGATTTCATTTTTTTCCTACCTCTAGAATTAGAATGATTGGACATATTTATTTAAGAAATCCTATCCATGAAATTTACACATAAACATGTCATTCCTTAAATATAATTGAATAATGTTGAATAATGTTTATTATTAATTAGTTAAAGTTTAATATTTTACTCTTTTCATGCAAGATATGATGATAAGTGCATTGAAACATCTGGTGGTAAAGGCAGAATTGTGGGCCACACAGACTTGGTAAGTTTATTTATTTCATAAATATTGATTAAAATGCTAGTTAAATCCTAGTTTAATAACATCTATTGTTTGTTTCATATTTGGACGTATTACCAATTATTTTTTCATAAAAAATTTTCAATTATTTTTATAAGTAGAAAAAATTCAGTTTTACATTATTTCAATTAACTTGAAAAACTAAATAAATAAATATTTACTTGTACTGTTGTAATGGTAGGGAAATGTGTTATATAGGAATAAAGTGTCACTGCCAATACTGGAATTTGAACACGGATCACCAGAGAGCAAACACAGGCAATCCCATTTTGAATAAGTAGATCTGGTAAAGGAAATGTATATATATGGGAATTAGCATGGCATCTAAGTGATCACTATATGGGTTACTATTCAGATCACTATTCAGTGGTTACTTTTTGAGCGAGTATTATTGAACAAGTACTATTAGTGTGAGTGTTATTCGAAGGCATCTAACACCAATATTGTTCAACTGCGTTACTATAGTTGTATCTGCAATTACAAAGTCTCTACTACAATGAGCATTACTAAAGTGACAACGAGTGTTCATTGACATCATCAATTTGTATATGAATGAGAGACATTATATAAACTTGAGTAGTCATGAGGGGGGACAGATTTTGTGAATAATGATTGCGAGTGACTAGTGAATATTACTACTACACATCATCACCAATAGGATGCCCATTAGCCCTAGAGGACCCCGATTTTATGGACACAAAGTTGAGGTGCTTTGATGTAAGTACTAAAACTAAGAAGAAAGACAATAAAGCAAAGCTAAACATGGAGAAACTGATATAACAGACCTTGATGACTGTGGGAGTTGAAGCTATCAGAAAAGTTTCAATAATGGCTCATCTCCTGAAATTAGAAGACTTGACTTTTCAGGAAATAAGTCAAGTAATATTAAAGAACATGTAAACAAAAATAAAAGTTGGTCATGGTAGAATGGACAAAATTTATGTCCATGAAGCAAGAACCTGATGAACCAGTCATTAAATATCTACACTAAGAGAGACTAGCTGAGAAATTCAACAAAGTTGAATGTTAACAGGAAGAGAAAGATTTAGAAATAGCCAATGTATACTTATTAATGGAAACAAAAGATAAATACTAGTATTGTGGATATGTGTATGAGAGAAAGAAAAAGAAGTGCCCAATGTTTGATTCCAAGCTGTATACAGAGTCAAAAAGAAAGACGGAATTGTCGCCCAGAAACAATGTAGGAATGCTCAGTCTCATTAATTTGAGGGGAACTAAGAAAGACAAAATTATGAGGTGGGGGTCTCCTCTTCATCTTTGGCAATTTGATGGCTCAGTTATACAACCACTAGAAAAATAAAGGTGCTGTATGCTAGTTCATGCAAATCCAAAGAAGAATCTGCAATCTTATTGGTCCTGACATGGCATCTCAGCTTCAGTTCCTTTCACACCTTTCATATTTTCCTTGACAGATAAGGTGAACCTCTTCACCTCCATTTTTGCCTCTAACTCAATGATAGATGACAAAAACCATCTACTCCCAAAGTTCCCTTGTCTCACTGAGTACAATCTCTGTAATATTACCATCACAGCATGAGAAGTCTGTAGACATATCAAAGTCCTTGACTCTAAAAAAGCCACTGGTCCAGACAAAATTCCAGTGGTTGTTCTTAAAAAAACATCAAACTGGAATTATCTCCAGTCCTTGCAAAGTTATTCAACCCCAGCTTGAAGGAGAAATACATCCCAAACCTGTGGAAAGTGTCAATTGTATGACCAGTTTTTAAGAACATGAGTATGTGATTTTCCCTCTCCCAGTACAGACCTATCAGTATCCTCAGTAAGCTTTTTTTGAATCCATAATCAATAAGAAAGTTGTCGAGTACCTAGAAAAGAACACTCTTCAGCGATGAACAGTATGGGTTTTGATCGGCCTGATCCACTGTTGACATCCTAACTACCATCACTCACAAAATCAGTGAGGCTCTTGACGACAAACACTTCGAGGGCCATAACACTAGATATCCCAAACGCCTTCAACAAGGTGTGACACAAAGGTTTACTATAAAAGCTCTCCAGTTATGGAATCATTGGAAGGGTCTTTGTGGTCATAAAATCCATCCTAACAGGTAGGTTCCCAAAGGCAGTTATCAATGGCCAGTCCTCCGGAGCCCTAGAGGTCAATGCAGACATCCCCCAGGTGTCACTCCTCAGACCAACCCTCTTTTTCATCTAAATAAATGATCTGCCTAACTCAGATCATTTATAAACATCTATGCCGATGATACAACTATATATGGGTGCACCTCTAAAACTTTTGATGGTCAGAGATTGGCAGCTGATCTCATTTCTGATCTTGCACAAACTACCCTGTGGGGTAAAAACTGGCTGGTTATATCCAATGCCTCAAAGATCAAGCTAGTTACATTCCATAATTGCCGATTTGACCCCAAACTGCCACCAATCAGGATGAATGGAGGTCCTCTTGGGGAAGACTGTTGGGCCTCAAACTCACACCCAACCTCAAGTGGAACTTGTATGTACGATCCACCGCTCAGGATGTAGGTAAAATGGTTGGCCCTCTGTACTGCTTCAGTAAGTACCTGACTCCTCCCGTTATCCTTAACTTTTACAAGAGTCAGATCAGGCCAAAAATGGAGTACTATTGTCATATTTGGGTGGGTGCTGCCCAGACCTCTCTCCAGCCTTGATCAAGTTCAAAAACATCTTCAAGCCCTTGTGAGGGATGAATTAATCTCCACCCTTCAACCTCTCTCCCCAGGAGGGATGTAGCAAGCCTCTTTCTGCTCTACCACTGCTTTCATGGAAGGTGCTTAAACTGACTACATTCCCTGGTCTTTGTAGCAAGAACATATCATGCCACTTATAGTAGCAAACCACCCACATTCCCTCTGTATTCCATCGGTAAGAAGTAAGTTCCACTTGAGTAGATTCTTCCTGCAAACCACTGCCCTGTTTCTCCGATCACTACAATCTTAACCTATTCAAGTCTAGGGTTAACCGTTATCTTCTACTCCCATACACACAAATGGCTGCAAAACGTAACCCTCTACCTCATGTGGTCCCCGAGCCTTGTAAAGGGTGACCCTTGCTGTAAAAAAAAAACAAAAAAAGCGTAGACTTTATGAATTTAAGCAAAGTACAAGATTGGCGACAAGGGCTCATCATTTTACAGTTGAAATGGCTAGAAGTAACCATAAGTTCTATGCTAACAGTTTATTCAATTGCAATTGTGAAACACTCTTTTGGATTCTTTCTTCCCTGCCAACTTTAAAAATTTAAATGCAATGTAAATCATTATCATCTGTCTTCTCGATTCTAATTCTTTTGTTGTCCTCTCTCTTTAATAGTTTTTCTTATATTCTCTAACCTCTTGCATCCTAGTGGCTTTATGTTGCTTGGGGTGAAATGATTTAAAAAAAAACAAAATAAATAAACATCCTGAGATGAAGATGTAGAAATGGATGAACAAATGTCAAAGGACATTAAGAATAATGAAAATAGTCAGGAGATGCCTATACAAATAGAAGCAAATGAAAATGAAGGGGATAAAAATCTGGATCTCCAAAGCAGTTATGAAAGTTCTGATGAAGATCAATTCAAAGTAGATAACCATTGAATATAAAAGAATGTGAGACAGGATGAAAGTCTCTGAATTAATGATAATCTGGGTAAATATCTTAAATACAGTTCTGTGGCAGAACTTGTTCATTTTTTTATTGTAGAAAATACTTCTTAATTATCTCGCTTGATTGATATTTGATTAAGACTAGCAAATAACCTTAGTGACTAACAAAGACGACCATAGTGTGTTTTCTTTTAATTTAATGTTTTTTTTTCAGGATGTATGCGATCATGGCTTTTCAAAGCTTCCTTTATCTTTTTAATCTCAGTGAATTGCCAGTACGGTATTTTCTTGTGCATAATACAAGAAATTTTGAAGGGAAATTAAAGGCAAAAATGTGTGTTTGTATGTCTGTGTGTGTCAGGGGGGGTGTCATATACAGAAATAAAATTTTTCAGAAATTTTTACTCCACTTAAAAAACCCTCTTATTTGAATCAGGAAAATTGCAAATATACTTAGCACAATAGATAATAAAATACTAATTTTCCAGGTGTTAACAATTGTTTACAAAATGTATTTGATATGTTGGTGTAATTGAACATGTTTTTGTTTCAAAGGCAGGAAGTTCACTGAAATTTGATTTAAAAAATGAATAAAGGAAATACACAAGATCTGTCATGTTTTGATAATATTAATATTACAACAAAGGCCTAACTATTGTATAAACTATTTAACTTATTCTGACTTTCCCAAGAGAATCAGTATGAAAGTGAATGCTGCAAATTCTTCTAGAATTTGAAGTTGATTTACTGATTATGCTTTCTGTACTGATAACTTATATTACTTACACTTGTAATTAAAACAAACATTCAGGATATCAAGCTCTTATATATTTTTAATGTAACAGGAAATATTGTTTGTTATTATTTATGAGGGCATTAATATCTGAATTTGTTGTGTTCTAGGGAGAACCAAGCAGTTCCGATGCTGATGCCATAGCACAGCTTCAGTTATTGTCCTGCCTCATCGGAATGGCAAGCACATCACAAAAACCAGAAATGCAGCTGAATTTATTTGGTCCTGGTCTACTTGGTGAAGATGAGGACAACTATGAGGACCAGTAAGTTATCATTTATTCAGTTATGTGTGTGTGTGTGTGTGTGTGTGTGTGTGTTTTTTTTTTTTCCAGAAGTAATTGTAGGTTTTTTGTTATTTTTGTTCAATATATAAAATTTTAAAAAGTTACCTTCCCCTTTTTAGAATTTTTAAAAACAAATATGAAGTCCTTTAATATCACTTGGCAATCTATATCTCAATTTATAAATAAGTAATTTTACCAAATAACAAAAATCACATCATTGAAGACTTTCAACGGCAGCAAAAATGGCTAGCATGTATCTAGATGAGAAAATATGATTTTACTATAAGAATGCATTGTGAAAGATTTTACTATAAGAATGCATTGTGAAAGATTTTACTATAAGAATGCATTGTGAAAGATTTTACTATAAGAATGCATTGTGAAAGATTTTACTATAAGAATGCATTGTGAAAGATTTTACTATAAGAATGCATTGTGAAAGATTTTACTATATGAATGCATTGTGAATGATTTTATTATAAGAATGTATTAAAAAGAAGAGTATTTTTTAGATAGAAAATCCTTTTGATGGAAAACAAAAAAAATCAACCAGTTTCAAACAAAGAAAAAGAACTTGATTAACTTGCAGATAGAAACATTTACTGATATTTTGTCAGTGTATTTTTGTCAAATTCCTGGTCACAAGTGATGAATTCCCAGAAAAATTTGGTCCCTCTAGTGACAAGCTAGAAGACCAATATAAAAGATCTAATTTTCAGCAACAGTAACAACTAAAATATAACTAAAAGGGAAAATAATGATATAATCAATATGTTGACTATTCACTCTTATCGAAAACCTTTTGTTTTTGAAAGAAACTCTCTCTCTCTCTCTACCAGAAAGAGCCATAACTGAAGTTGAAAAGTTTAATTTCTTGAAAATTGAAAAACTGTTTGAAGCAAAAGATTTTATAAATTTCAATTGACATTAACAATTGTTGGGCCAATGAATACCAAAACATCACATATTTGGAAATGGCTAATTTTATTATTACAAGACCAGTTTTCCTGTCAACATGAAATTTTGTTACTCAGTAACCTGTTAACGTCTTCCATTTCTGTCGTTAGTGTCAGACTAATTCCCTGATAAAAACAAACTTGTTTCTTAATTTTTTTTTTCTCTGAAATTTCTCTTACTTGAGACTTGGTATTTAGTTCTGTAAACTTTTTTAAACTGTTGAGATTTTGCCGAGAAGAGAGAAAAGAATTAAAGTTCTATGAGAGAGTGCAATGATTCTTAAGTGGACAGATTGAACATACTGTGATAATTTTGATTGTTACCAATTATGCACTCTTCCACATTGTAATGACATTTCCAGTTATTATTTAATGAAGTACTCTGAGCATCATACATGACAAGATGGCATATGTATGTAGGTATATATATGTGTGTGTGTGTGTCTTAATTAGTGAATAAAATTTCAGAGTTCAGGCAGAGACATTTGAAGTATGGAGTAGACTTCATTAACTCAGTCCTAAACAAAAAACAAGGGATAAACCTTTACTTCTGTTCTATAGACTAGGAAGGAGTGTGAACTGGACAAAATATATATATGTGTGTGTGTGTGTGTGTGTGTGTATACAGGGTGCAATTGGTTAATTTTTTACCATTTTATATTTTTCATTTTGAGCATGCACGTTGTTTGTTTTTGATTTTGTCGACTGCACAGTATAGTGGGATCAGTTGGGCACCATCTCTGAGAAAAAGAGCACCATGATGCAATTCACTCCACCAGAAATTTGGAAACACCATTCTGTACTGCTTGGCATTCATACCGGAAATTCCAATACGAACATTTCAGAGTGTTTGGGTGTCAATCTAAGGACAGTGCAGAGGATTTGGAAAGAGTTGGATGTTGTCTAATGGTGATTACAAATGTACGGCAGCTAGGAAAACTCCCTCTGATCATTTTGATAAGAAAAGAACTCCAGAATTTGTTGGGGAGGGCCTCAGATGACTCAATGCAGAGGCTTACATCAAGTGCAGTTGAGCGAGAGACCAACAAAACTCCTTATAACACCAAAAATGAACTGGAAGCAAGGATAACATTCACCAACTTAAACAAAGAGACCATCCAGAAGAGATGCAGAAGATTCCAAAGTCATCTGGAGGTTATTGTGGAAGCCAATGGCAATTTTATTGAAAAAATTTACTCTTATTGATTTCAAGATATTTTTGTGTAATTTTGGTAAATATATCTGTTAAAATATGATGTCAGTGTTATTTTCATTTTTGCGTAATTTGGACAACAATTTGTCCATCGCACCCTCTGTGGTGTGTGTGTGTGTATATATATATATATATATATATATATATATATATATATATATATATATAATTTTTTTCAGAGGTTATTTAAAAAAATATTATCTTGAAAAGGCATTATTATTTTTATCATGTAAACATTTAAATTCCTTCTTCCTTAAAAATTATTTTCTAAATGTAAGAAGTCAATTCCACTTTGTGAAACAGACTCCCAGATGGGTGCTTTCCTGAACATTTTGATCTTGACCTCTTTTAGTTCAGGCTCAGTTGTCATCTTTAATTCTTCTCTTCATAATCTTCCCTTCCATTCATTTCACACACTTAATTCATCATTACCAGTTCTACCTTGAGTGGCTATCGAGCTTTGTATTGGGTGAAATTTATTAACAAAATATACTTATTTGCATATGTTCAGTTATATGTAATACATAAAATTGAACAAATCCAAATAAAAGATAATTTTTTATGTAACTGGAAGTTTGATATTAATGTGAGATTTTAGGTGAATTAAAGGTGTGGCCAGGTATTTATGTTTTGCATTGGAATGTGTGTAAAAAAAAAAAGAAGAAAAAAAAAAGAAATTTAATAAATTGTTAATTATGTTTTAATTGTTTATAACTTATTAAATAAATTTGACTTTCCTAAATAATTTTTATAGATTTTGGTTATATTTATATAATCATAAATTTTAAAATTGTGGTTGCTTTGATGTAATTATAATATAATTACAATCTATAACTAAGTAAATAAGTGGATAAAAATAAATTAATGAATTATAATCTGTTGTTATTTATATAAAGGCATCAGCCTCCACCTTGTTTTTATTTGATTTGATTGATTTATTTTTTACAGCTTATCAACCCTTTGCAGGTTATTTCAAGCCAGAAAATACTTTTAGATTATAAGAAATGTTTTTGAGATAATAATGTTTTAGTGATACAAGTCTTACTAAATAACCCATAGCTGGGAGGAAGAGGTGGGTTCATGCCTTTCCCAAGGGTATTTGTGCCTAAGTGAATATAACAAACCCAACTGGAATTTGGACTTGGCTCTCTGATTAACAATTCCAAGCCATTATTATGCCACTTGCACATCCAGGCTTACATCACCTACTATTCCAAAATGGTCACCCATCTAGGTACTGACCAGTCTTGACATTGCTTAACTTTAGTGATTGTACTGGAACCAATGTTTCAATATGATAGCAATAAGAAAAAAATAAAGAAAAGAACAGGATGAAAAATAATATAAAGTAAGCAAACAATATATGCAAGGCAAATTAACAGTAATTTGGCAAATCAATAGTAATTTGGCAAAAAGTTTACAAACTAAGAATTGGGGTTGACATGGAAAAGCAAGTTTGGACAAGTGAATGTAGCGTTTTTACTTCAAGACAAGACAGACTGGGACTGGAGTTGGGTGAAACTGAGAACTAGTTTTTCTATTGGCTAAGAAAAAGTTCCAGCATGCATTTGTGTGCTTCTGTCTACAAAATGGGGAGGGTAAAATGTTTCACAATCATTCCTACTTGGATTGAAACCAACTCACTATTATGATAAACTAATTAAAGAAATCTTTTATTTGAACCATAGGCTATATTTTGTATTTAACCAAATTATAATTTTGCTATAGTTTCATTTGTATTTTTGTTTTGTATTTTTTTGTGTATTTTCGTGTGTATTTTTGTAATTTGAATATCAAGGATTTCACTAATAGCAGTTTTTTTTTATTCTCTTTCTTTGTAGGCCAACACCTGGGATGGAAAAGGATAAATCAATTGAAATCAAAATTGATGCATCAAAGGTGTGTCTTAATAATAAAATTAAAAAAAATACTCTTCAGATAAGTAATATTTTATATTTACAGTGTGTTCAGGCTAAATTTGACAGTTTTTTTAAAATAGAAAAACAGTGAATATCTACGCCAAAAATCTATTGGAAAAATAGAAATGTGGCCTACAGATTATAACAATCAAAAGACAATTCAGTCAAAGAAGCCACTTTCAGCATCTACCATGGCTTCAATCCAACTCCGGAATCTGGAATAGGTGACCTTCATAATGTTCCTAGTAAGAGTCTCAAATGCCTCCTGAATCCTATTGATCAGCTGGGCCTTTGTGCTACAGAAAGTGTGGTTGGTGTCTTTCTCAAGCACAATAATCTAAGCATGAGATTACAATCAGGGAAATAAGGGGACTAGATGCTGTGGCTGGTGAAGTCGTAAAAATAATCTGACAACCACTTCTGTCTCTTGCTGGAGGTATGTCAAGGAACAAAATCTTGCTGCCAGACACATATGGTCTTCCAGCAACCACCCTCTCTAACGAAGGCTTGACCATGGTCTTTCAGCAACCACCCTCTCTAACCAAGGCTTGACCAGCAACTCCACAGAGCCTTAGATCCTATTCTAGAATGTGAGGTGGCTTGACGTTACCTTCACTGGAGACACAAAAACCATCACCATTTGGGGAAACTTGGTCTTTATAACACAAGGAATCTTTTATTGATTGTAGGAAAGCTGTTGTGCAACTGGTCCTGACAAAAATTCTTTTCATCAGAGAAGAACCATATTGTCCCTGGTTCAATAGGATGTTTCACCTTGCTCAGGAGTTTTTTTTTGTTTTTGTCAGACGGTTTTCTCAAGACATTTTTGAAAGAAGTTGACTGTTACATCTCTTTTTTGACTGGTAGTAGAGGTTCTCATTCAATGCCAGGTGTATGGTGGAAATTGCAATAGCTATTTCCCCGTGCTGAAGTGCACATTCCCTTGCCTGGGTCTTCCAGCACTTTCAGCACTACAGTTGTTGATGAAATTCTGGTGTATGGAGGCAATCAGAATGTGGTTGCTATGTTCTTTCCAACATGTCATGGCCTCAAGGTTACCATTGCAACTCTCCATTTCATGTCATTGTTTTCATGGTGTTCAAGGAGGATTAAGCAGCTGTCATGATTATGGTATTTTGAGGCCTGGCATAAAGCATCATGATGCAGGTTACCCTTTTCCAATATTCAGGTGACTTCCATTTCAGTTAGACACCTCTAAAACTGTTGTGATGAGGTGTCACAATGCTGTTTACTGTTTACAGCTGCTATTCCAAACCAATCAGAAAAAATAAAAACATTAGTCTCTGACCTTCATGATGTTCGGGTTAAATTTACCCAAACACCATGCATGTGCTATTATAATTACACAAGTACTGGTAATTTTAACAATTTTGCTGAATATGGCAAGATATGCAAGTTGCCTTGATCTATCCACAACCCTTCTCCTCATCCTTTCTTCTATCACTCCTATCTGATCTTGCACCAAATTTTCTGTAACCCCTTGCATCCTAGTGGCTTCTCGCCTTGCTTGGGGTGAAAGGCTTAAAAAAACAATATATATATATATATATATATTGTGGGGAAAATAGAAATGGTTTACCTCACAAACGCCCCCGCGTCTACCTGGCCTGTGGGTTTAGAAAGGAAAGAAAAGATCCAAGATGGCGTCCGTGACTTTTTAATATTCACGGTCTCATGCAGTCACGCAAAGTCGCGTTACACACATGCTAATGAGGTGTGTCTGGGCTCCATAAAAAGCAGGTTGTTTGGAGAAATTGGCAGACGGCATTACACCCGTGTTTGGTGTACACGGCTTTATGCTTGCAGCATGTCAGACATTTTCAGACGGAAAGAGTTCGTCCCTTACACTGTTGAAGTCGACTGATTTGCTACAAGCTATTTCGCCATTATTACAACATGGACAGATTCGACTTGAAGTTGATACCAGAGTTCGACGACTCCCGCTGGCCGTCTGTGGTCGTGGTGGGGAAAAAGGCGGCGAGTCTGCGGCTGTGTAAAATTAAAGATCCCACTGGTCATCCCTCTTAGGCTCACCAAAGGAGCTTACGCTGTGTATCAGCAGCTAAGGGATGACGCAGACTTGGAGGAAATAAAACAAGCTCTATACGCTGCATTCGGTGCGGACCCTTTTGTCGCCTGGAGGCAGTTTACCGAATCGACGGCTTGGACCAGATGAAACAGTAGATGTCTTTCTGGCCGGTTTGAGGAAGCTGGCCGCACCGTTCGGTGGAGCAAGCGACCAAATCCTAGGATGCGCCTTTCTGGCAGGACTCCCAGACAACGCAAGTCGACTGCTATGAGCATCGTCCATCAAGCTGGGCCAGACGAGTTACTGGCCAGAGCCGGAATATTCTAAGGATGACGCGGCGGTCTCAGCAGCTGTGGAAGCACCGCACCACCAACTGAGGACATAAGGTGCTATAAAAATGGCGGACTGAACCACTTCTCCAAAGACTGCGAAGCGGTGTGAAGGATACGCATAAACCCGAGGAACACGGAGATGTATGCGTTGCTACAGGTGCGACAAGCTGGGCCACCCTAGCAAGAAGCTGTCCGGGAAGCGGGCAGGGGAGTAGCTTCTGGCGCCAGTCTTCTCCCCAGATTGCTGCTGAACAAAACCGCTACCCGCAGTGAGCGTCGCGGATTACCGGGCGTGGCGCTTTGCGCTTGTTGACACCAGGTGCACACAGACCCTTGTCGCAAAGGCATGTTGTGACACGTGGGGCCGAAAAAATATTCCAGTTCTGACTGTTGGCGGGGGGCTCGCTAACCTCTTGTGGAATGAGCGTCATCTGCGCAAGCATCGGCGATGGGCCTGCAGTAGCTGTACAAGCCCTGGTCGTGGACGGAGGGCTGCTCGGCTATGATCTGCTCCTGGGAATGGACGTCATCAAAAATTGGGTGGTGTCCATGTTGACGAAGAGGGTCAGGTGCGTTTCACTGAAACAGGTCTTGCTCTGGGTGCAGCAATGGAGCTGGAACGGCCTGACTTTAAATGCGGAGTTCGACCAGCGCACAAAGTCCTGGACGGTATCTTGGAAATGGTCAGACGATCAACCGCCAGAGAAGCTGTACAACAGTGTGCGGAGTATAAAATCCCCCATGAGCTCGTGTGAAGTATGACAAGGAGTTGCGAGCCTGGATTAATAACGGATGGTTGGTTCCTTATCCAGAGAAGGAATTGGGGCCCCTGAAGGGCCTGATCCCGCTAATGGCGGTTCTCCAGCACAACAAACAAAAGGTGAGGCCGGTGCTCGACTATCGAACTGAAATTGCACGTGGACCCTTTACAGCCAGCGGGGACGTGTGTACCGAGAAGCTAAGGGAATGGCGACAAGCAGGATCAAATGTATCTGTGCTGGATCTTCGCAAAGCATACCTTCAAGTGCGTGTGCACCAATCACTGTGGCCCTATCAAACTGTGCTTATCAAGGAGCAAAGGTATTGCCTGACCATGGGGGTTTGGACTCAATGTGGCGCCATCGATTATGCAGATGATTGTTGGCGCCATTCTGACGAAGGATGGCGCATACAGCGGGCAACATCTGCATATATTAATGACGTGTATGTGAACGAAGGAGTCATATCTGCGGCGGCGTGAAGGAGCATCTCTACAACTTTGGCCTCCTCAGCAAGGAACCGGAGAGGCTACAGGATGGTGCACGGGTGCTTGGTTTGCAGTTCTGGGGAGAAGATGGCGTTCTGTATTGGAAACGGGAAACAAACACCCCAGACATGCCCCCGTTGTCACGGCGGCATATTTTCCTTTGTGCGGCAAGTTGGTTGGGCAACCTTCCTGTAGGTGGCTGGATGCGTGTTGCGGTGGCGTTTATCAAGCGGAGAGCATCTGACGTCACCACTGGATGGGATGACGAAGTTCACGGCGCCACTCTCAACACCATGATGAGGAGGTCCTCGCTAGAAATACGCAAGGAAGACCCAGCGGGCAGATGGTGCGTTGACAGCCAAGACCTCGGTGTGTGGGTTGACGCAAGCTCTCTTGCAACCGGCGTATCGATAGTTCATGATGGAGCCGTGGTGGAAGATGCTTGCTGGTTACGTCCCAGAAAGGGACTCCCAGCACATAAACCTGGCGGAGCTCGATGCTGTCATCAGGGGATCAACTTGGCGATCCTCTGGAAGTCGACCACCCTGCGTCTGTTCACCGATTCCGCTTGCGTTTATAAGTGGATCTCTGATACCCTGACTGGGAGGGCCAGGTGCAGACTAAAGCCACCAGCGAGATGCTTATCCGACGACGGCTCGACACGATCGCGGAAGCTAGTGCAAGAGTACGCACTGACAATGGAAGTGTCCCTGGTCAAATCTAGCCTCAACAAAGCAGATTGTTTAACGAGGGTGCCCCAAAGGTGGCTTGACGCCGCTAAGAAAGCTATTGAGCCCGTGCAACCCGCCTGCGTTGCATCTGTGAGTCCCGTTCGATTTAATCGAATCAAAGAAGTCCACCAACAAAGTGGGCACCCGGGGTCAGGCGGACACTGTATTTCGCCAAATTGGTTGACCCAGGAGTACAAAAGACAGACATCAGAAGAGTGGTCAGAAGCTGCGTGGCGTGCCAGTCTATAGACCCAGCACCCGTTAAGCTGGAAGAAAGGGCAGCTGAGCGTGAGGAGCCACTGGAGCCGGCTGGCGATAGATGTTACTCACCACAACGGCGAGGATTTCCTGACACTAATTGATTGCGGTCCATCCAGGTTTATGATATGGCGGCTGCTGTCGGCAAGATGCAGCCACTATCATCCGTCAGTTAAACAGTATCTTCCTTGAACGGGCCCCCAACGGAGATATTAACTGACAATGGCACCGCATTCACCAGCGAGCACCGGGAGGTTTGCGGATGGCTGGGAGTGCACCTACGGTTCCGCTGGCGCCCACGCACCGGTGGAAATGGAATCATTGAGCGAACCACAGGACCATCAAGACCATCGCAGCCAGGACGGGCTGCGCGGTGTCTGAGGCGGTCTACTTATACAACGTGACCCGAAGGATGATGTCTCACCCCTCGGCGCGCCAGCAGACACATTGTGACAGGTACCACGCCAGAGTGAAGGGCATAGAGACCAACCCGCTGACGGAACTGAAAGTAACCGAGAGAGGCTGAAGAAAGGCGATAAAAAACCCGCACAGCAAGTGCACAAACGAAATACGGAACCGACGCGCCACTGAGGTGATCAGCCCACAGGCGGTAATGGGTCGACGGTGTGCCCATCACGTTAAGGACATGCGTCCGCGGCGCAGTTGCAACCACCGCTGGACGATGAGAGCGAATCGGAATCTGAGACCAGTGAGGCATCGCTCTGGTTCACGCCAACTCCATCAGGCAGTGACTGGGATATCAGTAGCCTTCCAGGGGCGTCCCTTTTCGGACAGGAGCGCAAAAAACGATGAGGCTACCGTCCCTGTTCGAAAGCCCGATCGCCGCCTCCCTGTCAATTCTGTGATCATGAGATCAGGATGGAGTGTGGGGAAAATAGAAATGGTTTACCTCACCTGGCCTGTGGGTTTAGAAAAAATAAAAGATCCAAGATGGCGTCCGTGACTTTTAATATTCACGGTCTCGTGCAGTCACGCAAAAGTCGTGTTACACACATGCTAATGAGGTGTGTCTGGTCTCCATAAAAGCAGGTTGCTTGGAGAAATTGGCAGACGGCATTACACCCGTGTTTGGTGTACACGGCTTTATGCGTTGCAGCGTCATCAGACATTTTCAGACGGAAAGAGTTTAAATCCCTTACACTGTTGAAGTTGACTCATTTTGCTATATCATTTATATATATATATATATATATATATATATATATATATTTAGTGATCCACATACAAGCCAGTTTCACTGTATCACAGCTCATCAGTGTGGCTAGACATCCAATTGCCGGGATTGAAACCTGACCGATTTGACATCAGCCAGAGATCCTACCCCTAAGCTATCTGCACACAGCAGAGAAAGAGAAATTTTATATATTATATACGGATATATACAAACGTCAGCAGCCAGAGGGCTCAATTCGTTAATGAAGAGTGGTGTGTTAATAGCCACAGCAGCTACTGTTTTGAAATTACCCTTTCCTCTATAGTGCTCAATTGAATAATGTGAGCATACAAACTCTGTGACCTGCTCTTTGCAGATGATTGCACGCTTGTCGGCCACATCCTTGGAGATATGCAATGGATTGTTAACAAATTTTTTGTGCATCAAAAGCTTTCGGTCTGACTCTCAGCATAAAAAAAACAGAACTTGTCCATCAGCCTATCTGTAATCATCCTCCAACTGTTGATCCCACTGATTATGTTGAGGGAAAAGTCTTGAAAACCATGTCCTCTTTTACCTGTCTTGACTCCATTGGATCCAACAATGCTAAAATGGACAAAGAAGTTCTGACGAAATGCAATATGACAAGTATTGGAGCCATCCTAATGAAAATCCAATGGAGGTAGGCAGGACATCTTCCAAAACGGTAATGCCACTGTCAGCCCTAGACAGCAGTAAACAATCCATAAGACTTTATGTATTTCATCGCTTTCAATCAGGCTATTCAAAACAGCGAAATCAAGCTTTAGTCAATTCAATATTTTTACCAGATTGCAAACAATAAAATGCCATCTCCTTTCAGAATGTAGGCAAACATGGCTCTTCACAATTTCCGTTTAAGTATTATATGTGAATTGCCATGCAATCTTGGGAAAGATAGTAGAGTGGTTTGTTGTTGCCTTCTCCATGGTTTAGAATTCAGTTTTCTTTTTCCTAGACTAGTTGCCACCTGAGGCTCAAGAAAAAGATTTAATAAATTTCAACTAACATTAACACTGCTTGGTCAATAAATGTCAAATGTTTCCTGTATGGAAACGGCCAATTTCACCATTACTATTATTATATAAGTTATTTGGGATAGTTTCTTCCTTTTTTTTATCACAGTGCTTCAGCTGATGTGTTCTTCAGCCTTTCTTTGGTTGTATGTGATGACTGGAAATATTTGAGTGTCGTCCAATGATAAAAGCAAATTAGATGAGTTAGAATAAGCTATAAGATAATCATAATGTCTTCTATTAAGATTTCAAACAGTTGAAATTTCCATGATAGATGTTTCATTTTTCTCTTTTATACTTTTCTATTTTATTCTAATAATCTATAAGTATTTTTATCTATTTCAGAAGCAGTCATGTGCTGAACTGGATCGGATAATGGGGGAAATGTCACTTGAAACTTCTGTACCATCATCTGATGGAGATGACTTATTGGAGTTAATGGACAGTGCTCTCTGAAGTACTTAGAAATGTGAAGATAGATATGTGCACCTACATGATTACACTTACAGAGGAATGCAATATTTTGGCACACAAATGGGTGCTGAAAATTTCTTGGCCTGACTCACTGTCCAAAATTTGACCAAAATGACTGGACCTTGTTTGACTCACTGTCCAAAATTTGACCAAATGACAGAACCTTGTTTGACTCACTGTCCAAAATGACAGAACCTTGTTTGACTAACTGTCCAAAATTTGACCAAATGACAGAACCTTGTTTGACTCACCGTCCAAAATGTGACCAAATGACTGGACTTTGTTTAACTCACTGTCCAAAATTTGACCAAATGACAGAACCTTGTTTTTAAATCTCTTCTTGGCTGGACCATTCTGAGAACTTTTCAGCACACCCTCATATTTTGCATGTCCATTCATTTGATAAAAACTTTATAGGCACCTTTATGATGAGCACCAACTCTAATTTATTTGCTTAAGCATATAGTTATTCAGTTAATCTTGATGATGTCCTCGATGCAAACACAGGTTTATATATAGAGATAGGTAACAAATACATAATTACAACAATTTGAGACTATATTAATTCATGTTGCTATGCACATAAATAATTGTTTATATCACAAACTCTTAAGCTCTTTCTTACATGCACGTATTAACATGCACATGTGTTTATATGATGGATCCTCTTTAGAGATGTGTACATATCTGGGATGCATGTAAAGAAGACTTGCAAAGTTTTACCTTCAAGTTATTATTAGGCAAACATTTGACAGCAATTTAAAGCCTTAAATGGCAGGAACGATCTGCATGCCAAACGGGTAAAAAACTAAAAACGAGAAAATTCATTTTATTTAAAGGTCAGTTTTATGCTTTATTTTGCTATGATTCTATATCACTTTAAACATTACTTTTAGTGGATACTCATATTTGAGTAGACGTTCTGTTTATCTATTAAATAGCATCTGGGTGTGTTGGTGCTTGATTCTGAGATGCCTGTATGTCTATTTATCATCTGGGGAAGTGATTGGCAACTGGCAATTATAAGTAGACTATCCTGGAAAAGAGTGAGTTCTGTTGGGGTACATTGTATGATACGTTCAGTTGTGATTGAACGAATGAACGAAGCGGATACAAGGCAGAGAACAACGATGCATATTTTTGTTTAATAAGACTTCTCTCGAATATTCAGGCTGACAGACGAAAATAAATAAATAAATATATACTAAGTAAACAGAGTATCTACTCAAATATGAGTATCCATTAAAAAATAACATTTAAAGTAATAAAAAAATCTGTCAGATTAATAAATTAAAATCCATTACTTTAGAAAATTACTATCATTCTATACAAAATGTATAAAAATATTTTAACTCTTTAGATTTTAAAAGTAAAAGAAAAAGGAGAATGAAAAAAACAGTAGGTTTCTAAGTTGAATATTTTTTCAAAAAGTATGATATTTCTTGAAGCATTTCATGCATAATGCAGTTGTGCATTCTTTGTACCAAGTTGTCACTATTTGTTGCCTCGTTTCTCTTTGAGAAGTGTGCATGCAGACATATCACTGTCTTTGGCTTGTTCTTCCAGCTTTATTTGCAGGAAATGATATAAGCTTATGAATCCTTGGGATGGGGTAACCTCAACATCCCTGGTACAAAAGGAACTGTCAAGCCATTGCACTATTCTACCTTGAATGCTATCATCAGCCCCAATTGTGAGATGAAGGGGACTGGTGACCACAGTGGTGCAAAATGTGCAAACTGAATAAATGATGATCATATGAATCCTAGAGTTGTCAATTAGTCATTTAGATTTGAATAATCAATGTTTATATCATTAAAAAAAAAAGTTTATCTCATCAGTTGATGATATTCACTGGAACATCAATTGGTGATGCTTCCTGTTTAAGTGCTAAAGTTGCTAAGTGTTGGGGCAGAATACAAAGTTGGTCTCATCTCAACTTGCAAGGTTCAGTCCTCGGGTATTTATTTCTAAGATTTTGTTTGTGAATGTGCTTTTTTTTTTATTTTGATTATATTTTTCAAATTATTTCTTTTCTGCCTTAGCATTTCTTTTTTGACCAAAAATTTAAAAAAAAAATTAGATTTAAATAAAAATATTTTCCATTTGATAGCAAATCAAATAACAAGAAATTAATTGTATTGCATTGGGATTTCCTCTGTTTATCTGATTCATCATTGTTTATTCCTGCTGATTCCTTGTGGAGCATGGGAGGGCTGTAACTACCAATAATATTGTTGCAGTTTCAGTTCTAAGTAAATTTTTATTGATCTAGACTGCAAGCCCTAAGCTCAAGACAGAATAACTTACAAGTCTAAAGGTCTCTGTCTTACTATCTATTCATAGCTCTAGGTAGAAGTAGATTCATACCTTTACAAAAGATATTAGTAAAAAATGAACATAAACTGTCCCACCTGAAGTTTGAACTTGATTCACTAATTTCATTCTCTATGGTGTTAACTGTTAAGCTACTTACACCTCTGAATTTCACTCAATTCTAAAAAGCAATCTGAGGTAATTTCATTTTAACATGTATCCTGTGTTCTTATTCCCATGGCTAATTTTTAAACAAACCAAGGATCATTTTCTTTTAAGACTTATGAAAGTTTAACTGTTACCCAATATGAATACAGAAAGTTGATGAAACAGCTGCAAAATTAGAGATCACTGTTAACTTCAAGCAGATCATTAAACCCTACTGAACTTGAATAGAGCAGTAGTTTTAGTAAAATTACATTTAGCAGGTTGTTGGAAGTCTTGAAAATATGTAGCTGTCTAAATAGTTCATGCTTTTCAGATCATTTATTTCTAAATTTTACTAATTTTCAGATAATGCAAATTTCAGTTCAATTTGTGAGCTATTTATACTATTTAACAAATCTATGTTTACGGTCAAATCATGTTAAAAACACTGATTCTTGTTAGGTCATTGGAGTTAAGCAGTGTTGATCTCAGTTAGTACTTAGATGCAAGACACATTTTGTTGTCTTTTGGTTTATTTTTGGCAATGTTTGCATATCTTTTCAGCCCACCAGCTGACTTTCATGCTTTTCTGTAAATGTGGCATGTATTTAATAACTTTTCGTAATTGGTCAATGCTTTGGTAGGATTATGTCACATATGACTCAATTTTCCTGCTTTACCTACCACTAAACATCACAGGTGAAGTCATGCTTAACACCTCTATAGCTTAGAAGTTCCATGTCATGTCCTTTTCATGCTAGTCCTGTGCATGACGATAAACCACATTTAGCAGCAAGGCCTCTGATCGGGAGATTGGACATTTTGGGGAGCATGGAACCACTTCTTAATTACTATTGTCCCCAGGTCCACACTGACCCAGAGTGGTAGCACCTGTTAGGATTCCAGCTATGGGTAAATAGTGAACCCCCAAATAAAAAGTATAAAAATACATTTTTATAGTAAAAATACCAGTAATACTTTTTTATATAAAAAAAAAAATTACCAACTATACATATTTGTAGTAAAATTACCGACAATACATTTTATAAAATGACCAACAATACTTTTATCTGTAGTTGAAAGCATATAATTTAATATATTTAATAGAAGCCATAAAATTGTGTTCAAAATATTTAGATTTCGGCATTAAATAATCCATAGAAGTTGATATGCCGCTAAACAAAATCCACCAACTCCTTTTCAAACATTTTTCATCTTTTAGTTTGCTATCCAAGAAATCTTAAAAGCAGCTTTTCTATTATGAACATTTTACCACCAGATGGCACAATCATTTTGCATGGAACTCCCAATCATATGTACTGATGTTTAAAAAAAGTTTAGTAATTGTTTTAGGCCACTCTTATAACACCTTTTTGGTTTATGGGTTGGTCTCTTTTCATTAACCAGCTCTCCATAGGTGTGTGGGCATACAGGCTTATTTCATTTTCTATGAACATGTATTTGGTAATATATAAAGTCTGTTTAAATATGCTTCATGTTAATTCACCAATTGATTGATATATTGGTTAATACCATTTGTTATTCTTAAGTACTACATCTAAGTTTCATCTAAGGCAATTAGTGTAGGCACAGCATTTCTGCTAAAGAGAAAGAAAATTAATTTGGTCAGGTTTTGTGAAAAACCTTGCGAACACTTAAATGATGCAACTGCAGAAATGAGAACATTGAACTGAACACATTATTCATTCCACAAGAAAATTAATAGACCTGGCGGAGTCCATCCTTCTCCAGGTCAAGTCACAGATGGATGTCCTTCAATTTGAAGGCATGCCTTTATCACGGACATGTGGCCTCAGATTCCACCTAGGTGATCCTCTGCCCTGGTAGTTGATTTCATGGTAATCATCAATTCAAAATGAAGAAAAATTATTGTCTGTATAAAAAATTTAATGAAAAAATGTTTAAAGTTTAATTTTACACATAAATACATACATACATGTAATCATTAAGCAATATTTATAGCATTGAATTTTATTTATAAACTTTGACCAAAATTGCTTGACCTACTATTGTTCTTGTAGTTTTTGCTTGATCAAAACTATTTATTAAGCCAGTACTTATTTATATTGTAAATCTTTACAAACCACATTATGAAAAATGGTATGGCTATCATGCTAAGTTTATTGTTTATATTTGAAGTTATCCTTTGACAAATGTTTCATCTGCTACATGTTTTTACCTGTAAAATTTCAAATGCATCTGTGTTATAAATATTTATTAAAATATGCTAGTTATAGACTTGTAGCCTGTATATTTTTCCTGCTTCTTCATTATCAACAGCATGACCGAGTATGGTTGTAGGGTTTCTAAGCACCTGACCAGTTCGCTCCACATATCTGGGTTGAAAACTAAAGAAGTATTCATTCAGGTTTAGGATGTCTTGAGCAAGTAGACCTAGCAGAGCCCATCCCTCTCCAGGTCAAACCATGGCTGGATATCCTCCAACTTGAAGGCATGGACATGTGGCCCCAGATTCCATCTAGGTAACCCACTGCCTT